TGCAGAGCTGGATGAACACAGCAGGCCAAGCACCTTCAGAGGAGCAGGAAAGCTGACATTTTGGGTCTAGACCCTTCTTCAGATTTCTGAAGAAGGGTCGAGACCCGAAATGTCAGCTTTTCTGCTCCTCTGATGCTGCTTGGCCTGCTGTGTTCATCCAGCTCTGCAACTTGTTGTCTTGGACTTTAACCTGGTGTTGTGTGATTTCTGACCCTATCTACATGAGACAGAGAACAGTCTTTTCCAGATGGCACAGGTGATGTAATAAAACCTGTCTCCCTATGGCTCTGATCTGCTCTGTCCTTCTGCAGAATGTCTTATCCTGTAAGGATGAAAAAGAATGCCAGTGATTGCATAGGGGTACTATGCTTGCTATGGTTAAATCATAGAATCCTGACGATTGAATCTTAGAACCCCTACAGTGTGGAAGCAGGCCATTCAGCCCATCAAGTCCACACCAACCCCCTGAAGAGAATTCCAACCAGACCCAACTCCTATGTGGAAGGTGGGTAAATCCACATGCTCGCTGTGTCATTCCCCCCACCCCCCATTAGCAGTTTGATGAGATCACGTTAGGCTCCCATCCCCTGCTGGAGCTGAGCAGAGAGAGAGATAGCGGAGCAGCAAAAGCTCCATCCCATTTCTGAAGAAGAGTCTAGGCCCAAAACGTCAGCTTTCTTGCTCCTCTGATACTGCTTGACCTGCTGTGTTCATCCAATTCTACACCTTGTTATCTCAGACCCAACTCCTACCCTTTCCACTCTAGACTCTATTGGCAATTTAGCATGGCCAATCCACCTACCCTGTGCATGTTTTCACTGTGGGACAAAACCGAGCACCCGAAGGAAACCCACGCAGACACGGGGAGAATGTGCAAATTCCACTCAGAGAGTTGCCCGAGGCTAGAATTGAGCCTGGGTCCCTGGAACTGTGACTCAGCAGTGCTAACCACTGAGCCACCATGCTGCCCGTGCTGCGGGTATGTGGAAACAGCAAGAGGTCAATCAGTGTCAGACTGGCAGCATGTGAAGGTGAGGTGGAATATGTGAATGTTAGACCTGTCTCCTCAATGCTAGATGTTGCTGCTAGACGAGCGATGATGTTCTGGTGCCTTGGGCAGTGTGAAAGGTTAGTGTTGCTGTTGGAAAGAGATGAGTTCATTGACCTTGTCACATGTGTGATGTCACGGAAGCTCTGGTGGAGCTAATGCTAGGCCCTGTAAGTGAGACTGTAGATTGACCTCCATGATCACTCTCTCAGGACATGCATTGGTGTTTCCCAGCCCTCTCTGAAAATATTGCTTTCCCGCTCTTTCCCACTTAGCGCATCAATGCCTGCAGTGCCAAATTAGAGAACTTTGGAGCCCTCTCTCTGGGCTGTTGCTTCATTTGGGATACATTCTTTAACAGGAAACCCTAACAATAAGAAAGCTGTTTGCATTTCAAATTCATGATTCCTCAGGTGCTAGGCTTTGTTACCAGAGTGGGGGGTGAAAAAGTTTGCTTTTATTTTAAAAATAAGCAACTCCTTAAAATGTTGCCCTCTGAGATTGGCAAAAGCACACTATGGTAAATTTGGGGGCGTGGGGGGGATGGAGTGTAACATGTAGCTTCAGTGTAATGTTCCTCATTTTTGGAATGTGGGTAAATCCACATGCTCCCTGTGTCATCCCCGCACACCCCCAGCAGCAGGTTGATGAGATCGCGTTAGGCTCCCATCCCCTGCTGGAGCTGAGCAGAGAGAGAGAGGGGCAGCAAAAGCTCCTGGCGCCCGGTGGCACGGCTCAGCGCCCAGGGCATCTCTCTGCTGTTGCTCGTGAGTGAGTTGAGCCCTGGGCTCTTCCACCAATCCCAGCACGAGGGTGTGTGCGCGCTGCCGGCGCATTGGAAGGAGGAAGTCGAGCGGGGAGAGATGTACAACCGCAGGGAGTCCAAGTGCAGCCTGCACATGGAGCAGGAACTGCCGGGCTGTGTCTACCGCCAGCGAGGAGAAGGGATACAGGTAGGAGAGAACTGACAGCCAACTCCGCCAACTTGGCTCTTAACCGCCGTGTTTACAGCATGCAGCCGGCACCTACCCTCACTACTTGGTGTGGGCATTGTCAGAGCGAACCAGAGAACAAACAAAAAGATGGAAAGTCAAGCCCTGATTATTTTTGGTCTTGTCATTTGTAGGAGGCACCTGTTACCTCGGCTGCAGTGTGCGTCCGGTCATTGCTGCATGAAGTTCAGCGTATGAGCGAAATGGTTTCGGGAGCCCATCTGCTAATATCTAACAATGTCTCTACTGAGAATTAACCAGATATCGTTTATATCCACAAAGTTTTGCGAGCGCATTGCGCTTGTTATTTAGTGGCGCTGCAGAAGCCCACAGCACATTATTGTGCCTATCAAGAACTATTACAAAGCAGCGCTTTCTCCAGTAGTTCAGTGGCAATAGTGGAACGAAGCTGAAATTCTATACGGCTGTAATCTGTTCAAGTAATTTTGTAGGAAGAAACTATTTCTGTGATAACACGAATTTTGTTCAGAGGCTTCACAATATTTTTTTCATATTCCAGCACTGGTTGCGGGAGATGCCATGCTACGGCGCTAGACTTTTTCTCCAACGTGTTCCATCAAAGTTTTGAAAAATGCTTTTCTGGAGACTAGATGGAGATTTATTTTTCTTTACTGTCTATTAGATTCACTGTCATGCGTGGGCATGAGAATGAGGAAGATTAGTATTTTGGGGAAGTCGTTCCAAACAACTTTTTTGTTGCCATTGTAGTACAGAGAACTTTGCTGGAATCACTAATTTAAATTATTTGTGCATTCTAACTATTTATGGGCATCTGTTGTTGATACAGATGTTCACAGAGAAGCTAAAATCAAAGGGGGTGCTCAAATTATTTCATTCCTCCCAAGATATTGAAAATTGAAAATGTTTTGTTAAATTAATCATTCTGTAATTATACAATGTACAGCAGTGCAGGAGGAGTTATTTCAAGGCTTGCTATTAGCCACATTAGTATTCAGACATTTGCATAAAACAATTTCGTATATATAGACCATTTCTTGACGAGGGCAATAATGTAGAAGAAATATTGGTCATTTAGGATTAGGGGGCATATTTGTTTCAACACATTCTTGAAAATATTATGCCATTTGTATCAGCAACTACCAGAGAAGTTAGTAAATATTGGGACTATGGAATTGCTACTTGGTGATCCCCGTAATTCAACAAATTCCTGGTTTTGCTTTTTAGTTTCATAACTGTTAAATATTCAATTGCATCAAATGTTCACGGACATTACCAGAGACCAATCACTGGTAATCTGCAATCCTAGCAGAAACTGTAAAAAATTATTTGTACCTCACTAAACCTCAATCGCATACTCCCTTGTGTTTGCAGTTGCTCAAAACCAGTGATTAGAACATAAAGTGTTACAGCAAAAGAGTAGCAGCTTCCCACCATTCGTTCCAAATCTGTGGAGCCATCTGTCAGTAAAACAGGAAGGCATGGGTTCCCTTTCTCTCCTGGGCTTGTTTCGCTATTTTAGGGAGATTCACTTCTCCCTATGTAGGGGCTAACTGAAGAAATTGGTTACTGCCACATCTTGAAGTGAGGGACAGAGTCTAAAGCTGCTGTTCTGCCCATCTGCTACTACATGAGGAATATTCATTATTAACCGAGGCAGAGCTGTGCTGCTCAAATATGCAGTCCTGCTTGGGTAAATGAGACATTCTTCTGTAAATTGCTTCATTTTTGATTGCTGATTGTACAAGTGTCACAAAGCTGACTCAAGGTTCATCGATGCATGCTCAGTAAATTAGAGAGAACATAACTATAGATCAACCAGAGAATGAATTCTGTGCTTCTCTTCACATACAATGACCCAGGGCCATTTAATTTTCTGCTTAATTTTGTTGCAGTCAGTTTGCATTTTTGGGTTATTATAGAGTGGGAAATTAACAATAAATAACAAATTTCGTCAACCTCTGCCTGTAATGAAATTTCTATAAATCTTTGTAATCTCTGAGAGATCAGGGTCTCCTTGTCAGATAGTAATGTGTAGGTTTTTTTTTCAAGAGTATTTGGAACCGAAGGAAGAAGGGCTTTTTTTTTCTATAGCAGATAGTGAGTTAGAATAGTAAGCAGTTTCGTTATCATCTATCCAGTAACTTACTACATTAATCCTCCTCCTCTCCCACCCACCCTATGATAGAACACAAGCAGAATATGGAAACTGAAGAGGCACAGGACATTTCCCAGCTGTCAGGTGAGACAGGTAAATAGAAATTTTATAGTTACTCCATGTTATTATACAGCTCTTATTTAAACAGTAAGATATATTTGTTCCTGATATTTTTATGTAAATGTTTTGTGCGTTATTGTGGAAGCTAACTATACAAATTCTCCAGAATAATACACAGCATGGACAAACTTTTCCAAACTGTTGGACAGTGATAAGGATGACAAGTTTATATGTCTATAAAAAAACCTTTTTGGATAACATTTTTGAATTCATAACAAAACCTAAGTAATCCAATTCACAGTTTTCATCTAAGAATGATGTTTATCGAAAAGGGATTCACATTTGCAGTACAGATAAAAATGGTGCATGATATTTGAGGAATTTGAGGGAATGGTACCTGGAATTAACTGTTATATAGAACAAAACATCATTTCCCCTTTTGTGAGAATGGATTTTTGAGATTATTTCTGTATTTCCTTACTTTTGTGTGATGTTTACTTTCTCAAAAGAAAAATCCATGTGCAGGGAAGGTACATTTTGCCTAGAAATTTTCATGGGCCAAACTGAAAATTTTATTTAGCATTCATATTTAATTTGATCAAGAAGCTAGTTGAAACACATTCTTTACATTTTAAGTTCACTCAATTAATAAACTTAATTCAACCATAAGCTGTGGAACATTACCTGTTCAGTACCCTCTTGTTGAGGCCCATTTCTCAGCAGCCCTGATATGTCTCTCTCGGTCATCAGTATGGATGTGAGATAATTAATACGTTTATTAGTGTCACACACCCTCTCCCATAAGCAGAGCACACAGTCTGCAACTCTGTTTCACATTTCACACTGAGTGTCTTAAGTTTTGAAGTCCTCTCCACACACACACACACACACACACACACACACACAGTCCCACACAAGTATCACAATCACTATTTGATATTGTTAAAATGTCATTTGCAAACTGGAAAGATAAAATATCAAAACAACATGTAACATTTCATAGCAGTTCACTTTTTAAAACTAGATACCTTTGAAGAAAAACGGTATAACCCACTAGCAGGCATGTAATGTAACTAACGTAATTGTAGTTCAGGAGCCTGTCTCACTTCCCATGCATTAGTTACTCTGCTAAGTCCAGGTTCCTCCCAGCAGCTGCTTATCTTCTGGTCCAGATCTTGTAGCCAGCTGCTCATCTCCCTGGCTAGATCCTTTGAAACAGGCACTCCTTTCTTGCTCTACATCTCTTCAGGACCTGCTCCGTCTTGATCCCATGCAGTTTGCAGGAGCAATGTTCTTTGGGTTACATTTCAATGATACAATCCCCTACTGGAGTGAACTTTGGAAACAGTTTCTTTATTTTGTAACATCGTTAAAACATTTCAGATCTGTTTTCTCATTCTAGAAGTAGATATCCGGAAATAAATACAAGCCAATTACTAATTTAAAATAAAAGTTAAATTCTTTAACAAAAAAGATCACTGGACTGTACTCATTGAAGACTAAAATACTAAACTTGGTGAATGGATCTGTTTACCTATGATGGCAAAATACATGATTATTTTTCTTAACTCTTGTCCAGTATTTTTCTTCTTCAGCAAGTACATATCTTGTGTCTTCAAGCTGTAGTCATTTTTTTTCTCTTCTGGCCCATGCAACTTATTTAAATAAGGTCCTAGCATAGCATCATCATGAAACCAACACATTGGTATGTGTTAAAATTAACAGTTGGAGCTGCAAAAGGTTTTTTAAAAATGTGGTTAGCAGAGATATTGCGTCTGATTTTGCTGAGTGACAAATGAACAGCACCCACTGTTTGTTTGATTTCCACATGTGCGTTGACTTTCTGTGGGATTTTGCAAGACAAGTGGCTATCAGCAGGATATCCAAATGGCTTAGTGCCCTTATTAGGCAGCTGTGTCTCTCTTTACCCCTGCAGATCGAAGAATAATGTGGATCTGAAGGAGGAAATCTTATATAGAATTCAATACTGAATCAGATGTAGAAAGATTTTTAAAAAGTTTGGAAACAAAAATTGAATTAAAAAGGCAAGAGATCAGAGACTAAAAAAATAAACCTAAAGTACAATTTTGTTTTTGAAAACGGTTCTCCCAAATGTAACTTAGATTTAAAAACTGAAGGAAGGATTTTTCACACTTGAAAAAGGTGATTTCCTGAACCAGAGATTGTTTGGCCATATTTAAGACATTGTTAAAAAAATTACTGAAATGAATAGGCTTTAGCTTTTTATGGTGAGTGTAGTCTGTATCTACAACATCAGCACAGAGAGTTGATGCTAATTAATATATTTGAATGGGTGTGTGATGCCTAGATGGTAGTTTGCAGGGGAGCAGAGCTTCTTCAACAGTAGCCTCTGGACTTTGTATTTAACTGCGCGTGCATACTTACTGGAAGTAGTTGTCTGATTTTTGCATAAAGTGGTGAGCGTCGTTAGCCTCCACAGCAAAATCCAATCCACTGATGCAGTCAATTTTGTTAGCTGTTTTGTAGTAGAAATACAGCTTTGATAATGGATTGATCAAGGGAAAGGAAGACTTCATGCAAGTGTAGATTTTCGTGTAATTCATATTTTCTGCTGATTACAGCCGAAAGGCAACGGATGCTCTAAATGTTTTGTTTTAAAACTAATTTTTCCAAAATTAAAGATTAACATTTTCCATGTGGAATCAGAACACAAGAAATTAAGCAGGCAGGCACCTGGAAAATTTTCTCAATAATATTAATTGGAAGAAATTGTCCTTTAATTATTTTTCCAGATTTTCCAAACGACACCTGTATAATGAAGAATCTTTTTCTCAAATAAATGCTATTGCTTTTGGCTTTCTGCTTTGATTTCCGGATACCTGGTACAGTGGCTCAAACTATTGTTTTTGTCTCCTACGTAAATCAAATTTGTGGTACACTGCCCAAGTCATTAAATATGTAAGTCAGTTTAAACACATGAAATAAAAAATCAAAAGAACTGTGAATGCTGGAAATCAGAAATGAAAACAGAAATTGCTGGAAAAGCTCAGCAGGTCTGGCAGCATCTGTGGAGAGAAACACATTTTCAACCTCAAATATGATATATGTGTAAAATAATGCAGTCATTGAAGTAAAGCAGTTCTGAAGAGTAGAAATGAAGCATTATTCTTGCACTTCACCTGAATGTCCTGGTCAGATTTCATGAAATGGCAAAGTTCAAGGAAAAGCATAGCTGTTCACTGAGTGTGCTCACCAGTAGCTAGCCTTCAACCAACGCCATTAATTTCACATTACCTACAAAGCAACAGATATAACACTTTGAAAATAATTAATTTGCTGTAAAATATTTAGGAATGCTGTCAGGACATGACAGCTGCTTATGTGCAAATTATTTTTTTTAACTCAGTTACTGTGTTTTGTTTTACATGTAAAATTGTGAAGGATAAAGTATTTGTTTCAGTTTGGACATCTTAATTAGTTTTAGATGAATGCTCTTCTTGGCTATATTTAAAGTTTTGAGCCATTCAAAAATATTTCTTGAGTGAAGGAAAAACACACAAAGCCTGAAGGTGCATCTTTCACACTTTGGTACAAAGTGCAGGTAATTAAGATGTGTGGATCTCTAAACTAAGAATAACTAATTTTGGAAATAATCAGCAGTTCAAGCAAACATCCGGCTCACTTGCTGACTATTTTCAAAATCTCTAGCTTCTACAATATTTAAGTTTTCTATTAGTGTGAAACTACATTTGTTCAAAGCTGCAGTTATCATTGTTTTACATTTAGACATTTCAGTTGGAAGTGTCTGGTAATAAATGCTTTTAGGTTAAAAAATGGTATAAGGAAATAAAAAAATAGGAGCAGGAGTAGGACATTCAGCCCCTCTTCTATTCATAAAATCATGGCTGAGCTGCTCCAGGCTTCAATTTCTCAAAGAAGTCATAGGATCCCTACAGGCAGAGAGACCATTCAGCCCATCGGGTTTGCAGCAACCCTTTGAAGAGCATCCTGTCCAGACCCACCCTATCCCTTTAACCCTGTATTTACCATGGCCAATCCAGCTAACCCGCACATCTTTGGATTCTGAGAGGAAACCAGAGCACCTGCTGGAAACTCGGAAGGTTCTCTTTTGTGCCCTCTCCTCCTTGTTATTTCAATGATCTATCTACTTCTTTAACAATACTTAGTGATATATCCTCCACAACTGAAAATTCCAGACATTTTCACTCTCTGAGAGAAGAAATTCCTTCCCATCTCAATTTTAAATGAATGTCCCTTTATCCTGTAACAATGTTCCCTGGTTTGAGGCTCCCCCACTACTGGAAACATCTTCTCAATTTCTACTCTGTCAAACCCTCTTTACCTTTTACTTATATTAATATGTTTCAATAAGTTCAACACTAATTCTTCTTAACTGTAATGAATAAAGTCTTAAACTGGCCTAGCTTATCAAGAATGGTTAAACAAGTTAAGCCTTTATTTATTAGTGTTTAGAAGAATGAGGGGTCACCTTGTTGAAACGTAGTTTCGAAAATTCAGGTGTAAATCCTGAGTAAAACAATTTGGAAGGAAACTAATATATCATGGAAAATAAGTAATTACATGGAAATTTAATGCACAATGCTAAAAAGGAATTGGCATGTATTTTTGGCTACACCAGTAGTGCCTTCAATGCCACCAAATAGCCTATCATTGTTCTGTGTCTCAGTGAGTTTTGTGATCACAGATGCCCTGTTATTTTAGATTGGAAAACAAGCATGTTTGTTCACAGGCATTATCACATGACTTTTCAAAATAATTTCAGGAAAAATAAAGCCTAATTTTTGTTTTACTCATTCATGAGACAAGACCTTCAGTACAGTACCAGCATTTATTGTACAATACCAGGGGGAGGTGATGGCCTAGTGGTATTATCGTTCGACTATTAATCCAGAGACCCAGACAACATTCTGGGGACACGGGTTCGAATCCCGCCACGGTAGATGATGGAATTTGAATTCAATAAATATCTGGAATTAAGAATCTAATGATGATTGTGAATCCATTGTTGATTATCAGGAAAAACCCATCTGGTTCACTAATGTCCTTTAGGGAAGAAAACTACCATCCTTACCTGGTCTGGGCCACATGTTGCTCCAGACCCACAGCAATGTGGTTGACTGTTAACTGCCCTCTGGGCAATTAGGGGTGGGCAATAAATGCTGCCTGGCTTGCAACTCCCTCATCCTGTGAATGAATAAAGGGAAGAAAAAAATTATTGCCCCCCAGAAGGAAAAACTACTAAAATGTACGAATGACATCCTGTTCTGCTTTATCTCATGCACCTCAAAATGCAGCTGAAATGTGACCACTATGTTGATTTCTAAGTATTACTTTATTTTTACAAATCAAGTGGCTTTGCTATCAAGGAATATCAGCAGAATTTTCGAAGATTTTAAAGACACCTTTTAAAAGTTATTTGTTGGACTTGGCTGGACTGAACTCCAACATAACACATCATATTCACCAATAACTTGATAAGGTGTCATAAATATGTCATGCCCTGTGTGTTGTAAATCAATTCTTTCCTCTGTTATGTATCCTTTAGAACAAAACAAATTTGATGTTAATCCACTAAAATAGCAAGAACTGCAGATGCTGGAGTCAGAGATAACAAAGTGTGGAGCTGGAGGAACCAAGCAGGCCAGGCAGCATCAGAGAAATTCTGAAGAAGGGTCCCGACCCAAAACGTCAGCTTTCCTGTTCCTCTGATGCTGCCCTGCCTGCTGTGTTCCTCCAGGTCCACACTTTGTTATCTTTGATGTTAATCCAACTTGTTTTGAATTTTAAGGAAAAAATGCAATGATATGAAAGTAAAGGCCTACTGAAAGAATTTTTTGTTATTATAATGTGTTCAATTTTGACCTGAAACATTTCAAGGTGGATTTTCAAACTGGGAACCCAATGCCCAGATAATTTCCAGACCGCACTTTCACTTCTACCAGGCTGAGGCTGACAGCTGAGCACTAACAGATTGTTTGTTTGGCTTACAAAAACAAAGTTGCTGGAAAAGTCCAGCAGGTCTGGCAGTATCTGTGAAGAAAAAAACAGAGTTAACGCTTCAGGTCCGGTGACCCTTCCTCAGAACAGAGCCATTCTGAGGAAGGGTCACCGGACCCGAAACATTAACTCTGACTTTTCTTCACAGATGCTGCCAGACCTGCTGAGCTTTTCCAGCAACTTCTGTTTTTGTTCCTGATTCACAGCATCCGCAGTTCTTTTGGTTTAGATTGTTTGGCTTCATTGAATTAATAAATTAACATTTCCCTCTCAACCTCCTCATGTCTAAAGATTAATGTCATCTTTAGGGCTCTTAATAGGCCATTAACTGGAGTTGAGTGGGCTTCCTATCAGCCCCTTCCTGCCCTCCTTCTTTGAAGCTCACTGTGCACCCTGAACGTGAGACATCCAGCAACACCTTCTTGCAGTTTAATTTTCATGTCGCACCCACACCCACTGACCAAAAACTTAGTCTTAGAAATAGGTTTTAAGCAACATCTAAATGAAGCGAGAAAGGTAGCAGTCTATGATGGAATCATTAAATCAGGGATGTATCCAGTCAGAATTGGCTGGTTACGATATTTGTGTTGTGGGGCTGGAGGCTGTTATTGAGATAGACAGCGTCAAAATCGTGGCAGGATTTGAAAAAGAGGGTGAAAAATTTGAAACACAAGTACTGCTTGACCAGGAATCAACTAAGTGTCGGGGTGATAATTAAACACAACTCCACATGAGGGAGAAAACTGGCAGAAGAGGTTTGGATGAGCTCAACTTTGCAGAGGATGGAATATGGAAGATCAGTCTGAATGCTGGAATAGTCGAGTCTGGAGGTAAGAAAAGTAAAGGGGTTTCAGCAGTGGTTGCACTAAAATGGTTGACGCTGGGTGATGTTTGGAAGATGGAAAGAGATAATCTTAATGATAGTGTTGATGCCTGGTCAGATACTCATTAGTTCAATCTCGAAACAGTTGTGAGGAAGAATGATGGTTTTGACAGTGAGGAAACTGAGTTTAGAGAGGGGGCTGAAAACAATGTTATTTTTGCTTATATAATGCTCATTTGAAGACCTGGTGCAGACATAAGGGGCTGAATGGCCTCATTCTATGTTATAATTGTGAGCATTTGTGGTAATTGGAGGGATAGTGGACTTTAGGCCCACAGTCTGATAACTTAGCAACACGAGGGGCTGTCAGGAGAGATGATGGTGAGGCAGAGCAAGAAGTTGTCAGTCTGTGTGTGAAAACTAATTCTGTTTTCAGATTATATTGCCAAGGAGCAGCATGAATATGAGAAATGGAAGGGGGTGTGGCAAGGATAGTTAGGAGGCACTGGGTGAAAGATTGGGAAGAGAATACATTACAAGTGATACTCTGACAATAAGATAGGTAAGAATGGAACCAGTTGAGTGTAGTCCTATCACGTTTGCAACAATGGAATGGCATAGGAAGTTGACATTAGGATGTCAAAGTCTGCAGACAGGTTGAGAAAGTTGAGATGGCTTATATTACCTTTGTCACAGTCACACATTACTATTATTTGATGATTACTATTTTGGCACAGAAGAGACAGAATTGTGATTGGAGTTTCAGGAAGGATGATCACAAATTTGGAAGATGGCGATATGTTCAGGGCTTTGCAGAGAGAAAAGGAGGTTAGAACTGGTGCCAGGGTTTTCAAAGGTGTTCAGGGAGTTGAGGGTTTCTTTCAGATGAGAGATGGTGACAACAGGTTTAACTGAGTGGAACAGCACCCAAAGATAGAAAATTATTAAGAATGTCAGTCAACAGGGTTCCATACCAACTGGGGAAATTGGACAGTAAGTTTACTGGGAATCATTTTGAGGGAGCAGGGACTGTGTTTTTGGATAAGATGAGTCTAGAGAAAGCATAAGAAAAGGTAAGAGAGAAACTAAAGAAAGATCTAATATCAAAGCTAAGGCGAGAGGAAACTTTGGAACATTTTGGTCCAGTAGATTAGTAGAATGGAATAAAATAGCCCAGGCACCTGATCCCAAGTTTAGTGACAGAAATCCATGCATTCCTCATGTTGGAGAGGAGGGTGGAAGAGATCTTGAAGGAAGGTTTAGAAAGATAGTTCACGGTAGAAGGCGAAAGATGGGGCAGGCACAGAAGGAGGTATGTCTGTGGCATGCAGTGAGTGGATGATGGGACAGAGTGATGGGACAAAGTGATCAGTGATGACCTTCTCTGTGATTGATACAATGAGATTAGTGAGATGATGAAATCAAGGGGGTGACCATGACTCAGACTTGGGAAGTTTTCATTGGAGTGATTAAGGGAAGATGACATGCAGTGAACTCAAAGGTGAAAAAAACATAATGAGTTGGGACAGAGGATGAAATTATTGAGGATAGAAGTCATTCGATGCAGAGGCTAAGGGGGGAGAAAAAGTAGTGTAGATACCTATGATAATAGCAGCTGCACAATTGGCAGCTCAGCCACGACCATTAGCTTTCAATATCCACACCACCAGTGTGGCACCCAGAAGGTACCTTGGTAAAACTCATCAACATCACCTCCTGAGTCCATTCACTGTATCACCTGGAAGGCCAAGGAATGTCACCTTCTGTAAATTTCTCTCTCGAACAAATTGGTACAGTTTCAAAATAAGGTCTCTCCTATTTACTAAAGTGAAAAGGAGGCATTTCTTCTCTGAGGGTTGTCTTTGGCATTCTGTAACCCAGAGAGCAGTGAAAGCTGAGTCACTGGAAATATTCAAGGCAGTTTGACAGATTTTTGAAGCATTAAGGAGACCAGGCAGGAAAGTAAAATTGAGGCTATGATCAGAGTGACTGTAATAAAATTACAAAGTGGACCAGGTGTGAGGAGATGCAGAGCCTATTCCTGCTCCAATTTTTTTACCATTCTTATAAATTCTGGCATTGCTAGAAATCCTCATATCCCGTGAATTTATAAATAGAAGCTTTATGTCTTTGCCTTCCATTTAAGTTTCCTTTGTCTATTTGTTTATTTTACATTAATTTTGTTGATTATATTGATTATTTAACTTCCCTCCTTTACTGCCCTTTAATACATTTTAATTAAATGATAAAATCTAGAATCATTAGTTGAAGCATTCGCATCTGTCAAAGAAAATTTGGTACAAATCAATTCAAAGATTTAAAGCACATGGGTAAGCAGAAACCTGTTGCAGTGATGAGCATCTTGATGACAGAGAATGTGACAGTTGGCCAGATACAGTCAGTTAGCTCTGCACTGTCAACGGGCACAGCCAAATCACCAACACCATCATTACCTCAGAATGCTTGGAAGGTCCAAGTACCATATTCAAATGGCATTTGGACAAGAATTCATTTCCTGCAAGACAACAATAACATTGTGAACTGAGGATTTTGCAGTTAAAATGCTACCACCTTTCCCTGCCAGCCCCACTGGGATCTGTCTATCATGGTTAAGCTGCTGTCGGCAGGGATTGATATTTGTCTGTCGTTCAGCTTCCTCCCACTGCTCTCACAACCCTTCTTGAGACTGTTCCTACCCAATCTCCTTTGCTTGGTAAACCATGCCTCAGTCTCGAGAGCCTATCACTGCTCAAGGCAATCTTCAGCCAAGCTTCCTCTATTCTAGTCCAACAAGCTAGCTCAGCTGGCTGGACATCTGGCTTGCAATGGTTCAGTTCCTAGACTGACTAAGGTCACCATGAAGGGAATACCTTCTTAACCATGCCCCTTGCCTGAAATGTGGCAGCTCTCAGGTTAAATGCACCATCAGTTATTTCTGTCCAATGATCAAGTAGCCAATGGTCCTCTGGGGATACAGTCACTTGCACTTCTCATACAACATTTATGGCTTCAGCAATTCAATTCTTGTGGAAATGTGATGAAAATCAACATATTAATTCAAATTTCTTTTGTGCAGACCACCTATAATTTGTATTAATTCAACAGACTAAAAGGCAATACCTCACTGAAAATGGATTTAATCAAGTTCAAAACATTCATGCTGCAATTACTATCGTATTAAAATAATGTGGCCACACATTATTTGAGATAAATTATAGTTAATCCAGAAACATACTCTCCTCTCTCAAATGCACAATCTTGTTATTTTGATTGTTGTTGTTGTTGTTGTTGTTGTAGCTGGTTATTGTAATCATATCCTTTCCATACAGGGAGTAAAGAAGCTCTTTCTGTAAATGATCAAGAAGAGTTAGAGCAGATGCCTGTCCCAGAAGATCTGTCCACTAGCTCAGGGGGGCAGAACAACCCACAGGGCGAGAGGGTCATTGGTAAGTGCAAAAATGTTAGAATGATTATATTGACTGCATAGACTAGAACAATCCATTCAGCCCGTCTGATCTGTGCTTGTTTTGTATGCTCCACATGAGTGTCTTTCCATTCTGTTTCATCTAACACAATCATCATACACTTCTGTTCAATTCTGCTCATGTTTATCTAGCCTCTCCTTCAATGTACTTATTACTTCAGCATTAGACACTATTCTGTTTATTAAAATAAAAGCTTCTTCGGAATAATAAAGTTATTTGGAACTCTTTTGGAAACTGATCATTTGAAATGCTTCAGAATAATGTAAGTAATATAAATTAACTGCAGTTTAGCTGGGAAATAAACCATGATTTGCATAACAAATCTATAAAATTAAAAAAGTAGTTTCATATGTGTGAACACTTAACAAGCTATTTTCTAAAATAGAATGCATCTTTTTAAATGTGCAAAGGGACTTCAGGATAAATCTAGTCAAAAATCACACGACACCAGGTTATAGTCTAATGGGTTTATTTGAAATCACAAGCTTTTGGAGCACCACACCTTCATCAGGTGCGTTGAGAGAGGGCACACAGACACAGAGTTTATAGGCAGAGAGATCAAAGGATCATACAACTGGTGTGAGTGGAGTGACCAAACCTAAAATGGCTGATAGAGAGCTCTGTCAGAAAGAAGACGCAAGCTTTGATTGATTAAGATGCAAATTCCAAAGGTTTTATCAGTGTCTGCCTAACTTTCCAAACTTCAATCAGGCACATGCAAAGATAAATCTATGGGGTGAATCATTTCTTCCAGGATGTTTGTCCATTTGCAGATCCATTCTTCTATTTTGTTCAGAAAACATGCAATTTGTAGTCACAGTCAGTCAGTGTGACATTTTATAAATTCCTGCTTTTGGAATAAAACCAGCCTGATTCCAGGTTAAAACCTAGAGACCGATTCTGAACAAGGCCTCACCTACAATTCGGTGCCTGACCTGAGATGTCACCTTTTGTATCTCATGATTGAAGTTTTTATTTCTGGCTAAGTTTCTCCTATTCTATTCTTTTTCCTTCCTTAAATTTTTGGTCAGTCTTTAGTTTTTTTTATATTCAGTCCAGTCTTCTGATCTGTCACCTGTATTTGCACAATTATATGCTTTTTCTAAAGATTGATGCTATCTTTGCACTTTCCAGTTTACCACGGATAGTGGGTTTGTCCCTTGGAATTTGTCTTACTCTTTGGATTGTATCTATTCTGTGTATCCTGAAATATTCCCTTAAATGCCTGCCGCTGCCTCTTTATTGATCTATCCTTTAGCCTAATTTGCCAATTCATTTTAGCCAGCTCTACTCTCTTGCCCTCCTAATTGCCCTTATTTAATTCTTTTAAAAAATTGTCTCAAACCCATTGCTCTCTCCCTCAAACTGAATGTAAAATTTAATCATGATCACTGCTACCTAGACACCTTTATTGTGAAATAATTGATTAATCCTTTCCCATTGCACAATACCATTTCTCAAAGCGTTACAAAATATTATTTTCTGAAAGAAAAGCAATCTAATAAATGGATGAATACTATCGTCTTCTGTCATCCATAAATTTGCCACTTGCTCATTGAAACAATGGCCTGATATTTGCAGGAGAGTGTGGGAAAGTGAGACGGCATGGGCAATCCTGACAAGGTTGGAATGGGATAGTCATTCTGAGTTCAACGCCATGACCTAGTCATAGTTGCATTGTGGGACACTCATCTTAATATCTTAATATAGAAATGGACCCTCAAATTACCCTCTGCAATTATCCTGGTGAGAGGCATGTATGCACCAGGTTTTTATTAGTAATTAATTCACCGTAAACTATAAATTCAATTATAATTTTAACCCCATCTTGATCCCCTCCTTCTTGACGTGGGGCTTATGGGGAAGTGAATGTTACTATTGAGGCTAATATAATGCAGATTAATTTTGAAGAACAAAAGGCTAATTCTAATTCCATGTATTTTTATTTTTGCTAATGATCATCTCTTGCTCAAATGCCTTATCAAATGCCTTCTGCAAATCCATATTGACAACACCCTTAGTCCCTGCCCTCTCCCTCATATAAATTGTAGCCTCAAAAATTCAAGTAGATTAATCAGACATGACTTCCCTTTCAAAAAATACAAATGTTGGCTTTCTTTCATCAGCTCATCCTTATCCAAGTGCTTTGTCATGCTGTTTCTGGTGATATGTTTCAGTAACTTAGTGAAACAGAAAGATCTGTAGTTTCTTGCTTTTTCTCTCAAGTGCTTTTGCAACTTTCCAACTCAAATGCACAATTCCAGAATTTAGGGCTTTTTGGAAAATTTTATCAGCAATTTCCTCCCATATTTAAATTAACCACCCTGGGATGAGAATGATCAGATCCAAGATATTTATCAATTGGATTAATGAACAGACACATTTTGTTGGAGAATCATTGCAAGTTTATGAATAAACAGCTTGTAAGCAAGCAACCAAAGTGTAACAGGAACTAGATTTTGTAGCCTCTGTCTGAAATGGGACAGTTATGCCCCAAAGAAGGTGTGCTATCTCGAAGTCTTTTTTTAAAAATTGCATTCTTGTTTCACTTCATATTCATTGATAGCATTTTAACTCTCTTTGATTGAACTTGCAAGGAAAACTGCACTGTGAAAAGATTAACTTCTTTAATGCTGTGTGAATCACCACCTCATTGCTATGATTAAATGTTTTGTCATTGATGGTATATTTGAAGAACTTTAATTAAAGGAAATATCAAAGATTTTCACCCACTGTCTTTCTAAAAATTCCTACCTGTTGCAAGAAATATTTTTGTGCTTCAATTCTGAGGAGAGACATTTCTGAACACCACTGTCAGTCTGAAATCTAAATTTGAACCCACACTGTGTGGGATAACTGTCATTCATTGTGATTTTCTCCATGATCAGAGTACGGACTTGCTGTCCAGTTAAAATGAGCAGATGGGCTCTCAAAACTGGATCACCATTCAGAGGTCTTCCACTAGGATTGGAGCAGCAGACCGTAAAGGAGACAACAGTTCAAAATGGACGTACCCTCTCTTGAACTTCTTAAGCAGTTAAATTAAAAAATGCTTTATGCATCTAAACTTCTCCTGCTGTCTGTGGGAACTGGAAGCTGACTGGAAAATCCCAGTTGGTTTCTTTTAATTCAACTTAAGTGATGCTCAGAGTCAGAGAATCCCTACAGTGTGGAAGCAGGCCATCGAGTCTGCACTGACCCTCCAAAGGTATCCCATCCAGACCCACCCTATCCCTGTAACCCTACATTTCCAATAGCTAATCCACCCAGCCTGCACACCCCTAGATACTATGGGCATTTATTGATGAGTGAGCCATCCTCAGTGCCTGCCTCTTATAGGTGGTTAGTCCTGCCAGCTCCCTCCTACCATCCTTCTCTCAAATGGACCGGATAGAGCTGAGGAACTTTCAGGCAAGTCAGTGGTGCTATTTTTAACTTCAGTCAATCTCCATTCTCCTGGGAACTCAAAATCATGTCCAATATGTCAGGTCAGTTGCCCATCCCAATTCTATGGCCACAGGAGCACCGTGGGCTCAATCACAAACACATAATGGAGAAGAGCAATCTGATTTTTGCCTGTGAATGCAAATTTGAAGTGTATTTTTGGATTCCAACCCAGTATAAGCCAAATATGGAACAGTATGTAGTTCACTTCAGGCTCCCTGTGTTTGTACTGTTTTGTATCAGTGAAAAACAGAAAATTGAAGATGTATTCAAATACTTTGAGAAGTTACGAAACCAATCATTTACCATATTTATTTATGCCTTACAAATAATGCCAATGCTTTGTTTTCCATGAAAAAAAATGGACAGAATTGTGGAATATGATCAACAAGTAAACAGCTAAAGTGCTGGAGTCCCATATCATAATGATGGATTCCATTCACTTTTTTCCAGTGTAAGCCAAACTTCTTCTTTGTTGGGACTAAGGTGGATGTGGCATAAAAGATGCTTAAAGTTGGGCTATAATCAGCTTTTAGGCTGGGAACACAGTTACTTAGAACCGTGTAATTTGCCTTACAACCTAAAGTCCAGTTCAGACCAGAATAATCGGATTTCCTTTCTATAGGCGTAAGAGCATTAATTGAAATGAACTCTGACAATGTAAGTGGATTTTGTAGTCATTTCAAATTTATAGTTAATTGCAAGATTCCAATTGCAATTGCCATGCGATTGCCACATTCACAGAAACGCTTCAGAGGAGGTACTCATCCAGGAAATGGAAAGATCATGGTTGGGCAATGTAAGGTTTTCTTCTCGATTTATGGTGAAGAAATATTATGTGAAACTATTAGACAACGTTGTATTGTGTGCAGGATGTATGCTAATCATTCTTTCTTGGCTTTCGGTGATCTCTTCCTCCTTTAAATATTTTCATACATTCATTTTGTTCTTGAGGAAGGGTTTGCTTGTGCCTGAATTGTTAAGTAACACAAGGTTCTTGATAGCTGCTGCTTGACTGACTGAGGCTTTGTATTGTTTCCATTTTGGTTTCACATATCCAGCATCTACAATGTTTTGCCTTTTATCTACCGGTATGGGAATATCTTTCTCTGATGCGGAAAATCTGTACCTTGAAGAGGATAGCATGTGCCTTAAAATTCTCTAGTTTTTTTTTATATTAGAGAGCAGAAGTTCTAATCCTCAAACCTTTTGTACAAGGACTTACACAACATTTCTATATTCATTGATTTTACACAGATGTTAACCTATTTATTGTGAGTGAGCTGATGATCATTGCAAAGTAGGGAATGAGGAATGTAACAGAACAAATTAAGCACTCACACGAATGGAATTTCCACTCTAATTTTATAGTAGAAAAGTCTTTTGCATACTTTGGAGCAACAAACAGGAAATAAAGAGCAATTTTATTAAATTGCATTCCCCGTCTTTGCCCATCATATACAGCTCAGTTGGCTGGAAGGCTGGTTTGAAATGCAAAGTGACACTAACAGTGTGGA